GGTGGTGACCAAGGAACGGTTGCAAGTGGCAGGTAGTACCGTAAAAACCCGCGTATAGCCCGGAGTTTTTTTCTAAAGTTTAGGGTGCGAAGCTTCAGCCCCGTACTATATGCGCATCCCAAAAAAGTTTCGGCCCGAATTCAGTTTTGGTTTCGGCATTGGTTGGTGCTATTATCATTATCAGGTGTCTGCGCACTTCTACGTTAGGTGGCGTGGTAGCGTGAGCGGCGTTAGTCCTAGAGACCTATAGGTACAGGCGTGCATCAGGCGAGCAACAGTGGCCATTGCATTCACTTGGCGCACATCACGACGGCCACGATTCTACTTCCGTGATTTTAAGCCATGTCGGGACCGCGCAGGCAGTACTCGGCTGCCTTTAAGAGGAAAGTTATTTCCAAACGAAAGACGCTGCCGAAGGGGGAGACGTTCCCAAAAAATGTTGTCGTCCGCTGCCAGGACAAGTGGTGGATGCACGAGTCACTGGTGTTGGACTGGATCAAGTCTGTGTGGTGTCGACGGCCCGGAGCACTGCTGGGGCTCCCATCGATGCTTGTGCTCGACGCGTTTCGGTGTCACCTGGCGGACTCCGTGAAGCGACTCCTGCGCGACTCCCGCAACGAGCTCGTCGTCATCCCGGGCGGGATGACATCCCAGCTACAGCCACTTGATGTGTGCCTTAATAAACCGTTTAAAGACCACATCAGGCGCCTGTATATGGAGGGGAGGAGGTCCGGAGAGCCAGAAGTGACCCCTGCCGGACGGCTGAAACGGGCCTCTCCAGCTCTGCTCTGCTCGTGCATCGCCGAGGCGTGGGCCCGCATTCCCGAGGCGCTCGTTTGCCGTGCCTTCAAGAAGTGCTCCATCTCAAACGCGCTGGATGGCACGGAGGATGAGGTGCTGTGGGAGGACATTTCGAACAAGGGAGATTCGGAAGACAGTGTGTCAGACGAAGACGACGACTAATCGTGCGCGCGCGTGCGTGAGCATGCAAGTGTGTAAGTAAATGCATTTTTTCTGTTTTCCTCGAACAATATTCGCGTGAAAATGTTTTTTCTCGCGTTTGCTATCCCCGAGTTACACCTCGAACTATACGCGGGTCCGAACTATACGCGGGTTTTTACGGTATGAAGGTCGAGCGGGGGGGGGGGGGGGGGGGGAATTCAAAGAGTAGCGGCGGTACATCATGGGACGTTGCTCGGGGGCAGGATCAGCTGTCGAGAATGCTTGGCGGATTTCGTCGCGGACGACTTGAGCGACAGATGCCGTGGGTGTATCCACTACCGGAGTCCACAACCTCTGCAGTTCTTCACAAACAATCTCTCTAATTATGTCACGCAAAGAGCTATGATTGTCAAACGTCACAGTGGCAGCCTGAATTTGGGGGCTGCTGCACAAGCGGTCATATTGTCGGCAGCATTGGTGAAGTGCCCGCTCGATAGCCGACGCTTCTCTACAGTGCTTGGCGGGTTGCGCAGAAGTCCGGCGAACAGCTGCTCTTTCACGCCACGCATGAGGTAATGCAACTTCCTATCTTCGGTTATCTGTGGGTCAGCCCTCCGAAATAAATGTCTCATGTCTTTGGCGAACATGCTGACCGTTTCATTGGGTTTTCGGACCCTTAGCTCTAGTAGTTTAAGGCGCGGTCATGTCTGTCAACATTGGCAAAGGTTTCAACCATATGCTGGTGAAAGTTGGTCCATGGAGACAGGCTGCCTTCTCTGTTCTCGTACCAAGTACGAGCGCTGTCATCAAGATAGAAGTAGGCCCGGCCAAGCTTTTCCTGAGCAGACCACTCGTTGATATTTGCAACACGGTCATAGTGATCTAACCAGTCTATAATCTTTTGTGTACGCCATCACCAAAGCGTTCAGGCTCCAGCGATTGAAAAAACGTTACCTGGGACGGAGCGGGAGGACTGGTGCCGAGAAGTACAGGCTAGGGGCTGGTGTTAGCCATTTCTGGATGTCTTGTAGAGGGCTTCTGCGAGGGGTTGAACTCTGGAGGAAGACCTCGTAGCCAACGACTGAATCGATGGACAGGGGTTGCAATAGGCACGTTTGGGCTCGATTAACGGCTCTCTCTAGGGGTGTGAAGCATCGGGCAGCGTCGCGGTCCAGCTCCTCCACCAGTGTCGCAGTGCAACACGAACAAAAGATGACAGCAGCTTACGACAGCGAAAACAGCCTGTTCAGGGTCAGCTGTACAACAAGATGCCTGCTTCGTTGTCGTCTTGAAAAACCACCTGTCCCACTAGCTGGAATCTACAAAACATTCCTATCGTCGTTCTTTTTCATATACACACGTGTCAATATTATCAATGCTGAAAATCAAAATGACTCGACACGGCCGCAGAAAGTCCTTCAAAAATTTCGTGAATACGGTCTTCAGTTGCACAAGAAAAAATTCAAGTTTTGGCAAGGCGAGGTCACTTTTCTCAGCCATTGTATCGACACTGAGGGTTTTCGGTCAAAAGACGAGAACATGAAGGCCGTCCGTAAAGCGCCAGAGCCCACTTCGGTGAGTGAGCTGAAAGCATTTATATGTCTTGTGAACTATTACGCAAATTTTTCCCGAACCTGGCAACCATGCTCTTCTTGCCAAAAATGCCAAGTGGCAGTGAAACCAAAAACAAAAGGAATGCTTTCAGAAAGTTAAAAAGACAATGGAGGCCTCTAAGTTTCAAGCACATTTTGACCTTGATAAGTTGTTGAAGGCTGGAGTGTGACGCGTCATCAGTAGGTATAGAAGCTGTTTTGTCCCATCAAATCAGTGGTGTTGATTATCCAATTGGTTTCCGCTCCAGGAAGCTTACAAGGGCAGAATGTAATTGCTCGAAGTTGGGAGAAGAGGCTGTAGCGCTGGTGCTCGGCATTGCACGGTTCAAGGACTACTTGTACAGGCAGGAGTTTGTCTTGGTGGCTGACCACAAACTTCTCGCTGGTTTATTCAAGCCGGAAAAACTGATACCACCGATGGCAGCTGCACAGGTTCAGCGTTGGGCCTTGTTTCTGGCCAACTAAAGCTATATGATGCAGTATCGTAGAGGCAGTGAACATTCGATTGCAGACTTCCTCAGCCGGTTGCCACTGCCGAATACAGAGCCACGAGAGAGTCATGCCAACGAAAGGGAGTACATTTTGTTGGCTCAAGCGATGGAGGAAACGGCAATATGCACCCGAGAGGTGAAACAAACAACCTATCTAGAGCCTACTCTTCAGCAAGTAAACACGGACTTTAGAAGGATGGCCACGGTTCTGACCATAGCATCACGAGCAATACCAGTCGTACATCAGCAGGAGAACAGAACTGATCGTAAAGAAGAATTTGGTGTACTGGTTCATCGCATTGTTTTACCCTTTGGTGTAAGAAGGCGCTCATCAATCCTGCTGCATGAAACTCATCCCGGTATGGTTTCCATGAAGTGCAGGTGAACCGGTGTCGATGCAGTTTTGGAAGAAGTCATTCTTGAAGTGGTGCAATACAAACAAGGGTCAAGGATTGTCATCGTACATTCTGCTCAAGGAAGGCACCGACGACATCTAGACCAGTTAAGGCGCCGAGTGGAATCAATGGACACGGATCTTGACCAGAGAAGCAAGCAAGAGCCAGCCGAAGATACCAGAGAAAGGTTGCAGGACAGCCCGGAAGAAACAGTCTCGGAATCGGCACGCTCACCGCTTTTGTGTAGATAAACCAGGCAACGGAAACCACCGGAAAGCTATGGCTTCTAGAGGAAGGGAGATGAAGCGTCTGACGTATCTAATCTTGTCAATGCCTTCACTGCGACGTCACCTGCATTGAGTTTAAAAACAAGCTGCTCAATCAATCGTCCTTCTTGCTGTGTTTTCCATAAAAAATGTCACAGACAAATCTTCTGGTGCCTTATGTTTATTTGCAAAAGTAAGGCATTTTTATTTTTGTAGCTCTCTTCAAATATACATTGCTTTCTTTGTTAGTTTAAGATTTTCTCTGTTTCAATTTATTGCCATCTGTGATTCTTCTGACAAGCATTGCTGCACTCGATGTTGATCATTTGTATTGCTGAAAAGCTGGATGTTTATAGAGTGCAACAAAATGGCATGTGTTTATGTAGGAAAGTAAATTTTTTTTCAAAGATAAAATAACATATTTTCTCAGTAATTGAGTGGTGAACTTTAATGCTTTATAACCCTTGTTTTAGGAAAGCCAGAGCTATAAAATTTGTTTTTTGTTCTGTTTTCCTACTGTGGCATTTAATTAAGCAGAGTTGTGCAGCCAATTTATTGAAAAGGCAGATAAATAAAATTTCATCCAAATAATAGTTTTTAAAAAGTTTGTTGGAAGCTACTTAGAAACTGAGTTCATATTTGATGTGTGCACACGTACATACACAGTCATCGATGTTTTAATCATCCTAACTTAAACAAAAGATTATTTATGTCAAAGTACCCCTTAAAAAGTCACTTTTGCTTTCAACTGGGCGGCTTCTTCGTCAAAGCAGTGTGTTGTCACAGGAAGACATGGCTTACTCGTGGCAAATCTGCCATATATCTGCTTATGGCGCAGATTAGTGCATCTATTACCTCCTGCGACGCTGACAAGTGATTTCTGTGTGGCTGCATGCAGTGCACAAAACCCAGTGATACTGTGTTGACTCGGGATAATCTCTATTGCGGTCGGGCTGGATTGTTGATACTGGGGGAGGAAAACTATAAATTAAAGAAAATATTCTATACGAGTAGGCAGAGTCCATTGTGTGGAGAAGGTTAAAGGGGCACCCCAAGGAATCAAGAAATGTTCTTTTTGTGATGTCTCAAATTCGTGTCAGTACACTTTAAAGTAGCACATGTAATTTAGCACTTAATGCTTACAATCAAAAGTTGCCTGCACTTTTGCACAAGCTTGCATCGCTGCTTCTGGCTGTTACAGGGCACTCGCATGCTGTGCCATCATTTGCACACTGTTATTAAATATTCAAGGGCTGTTCACGGAGACGTCCTTTTTTTTTTTGCATATTTCAGAAATTCCAAGCCCGCCATCTGAGCCAGAGATCTGGTAAACCTTCTGTTGTGATCTGGAAGGAGCCTCTCCAGGATTCACTGATCTCAATGTTTGGTCAGCTGTCTGCTGTGTGTTTTTCATAAGTTATAAAACGTAGGTTTTGTTCATGAATGTTGTAGTCACTGAGCCTCGTTGTTGCAACTGTCTTTAGAGCTGCTTGTTGTTCTGTGTTCGCTTCTGGCAAGCTTAACAATGCCTCGTGTCTTTAAGTAGTGCACTACTATCCTTAAGAGATCATTTTCAGGCCAATCCAAACAAAAGGTTCAGAGAATGATGGAAGCTTGAAAAGGTGTTAGATTTGTGAAAACAAAGTTTAGACGAGCAGACTTCTCTTCCTCAAGGATGGAGCGTTTTCGTTTTGTTTTTGTTTTTTTGCAACCATGAGGTCTGCTTGCCTCAATTTCGGCTTTAGTCACAGATCATGTGATCCATCACTTTCAGGCGGGCAAATGTTGCGTCATTGGACTCAACACAATGCCTGCCTTGTACCAGGAATTGTGTTGGTCGTCTACTCTGACATGCCTGACAATGTGTCATTGTGAAAAATTCGGCAAAATACTGTACGGTCACTGGCGTATTGCATGAGCTTAAGCAGCTTTTGCACAGCCTTATTATGTTTGCCAGCAGCTCTATTGGACTTGTAATGCCATATATATATATATATATATATATATATATAATATAAGGCTTATATGCAGAAGAATAACTTCGGTTGCCGCAAGGTTATAAATATGAAAGTAGATGCGCTTTCACATAACTGTTTATTGTGCCGACGTTTCGACGGGAACCCCGTCTTTTTCAAGACATAATACTATTTACACATGTTCCGTGTCTTCTTATAGCCTGTCGCGACAGAAGGGAAGGGGTGAAAGAAAAGTAAAAAAAAGGAAAAAAAGAAAGAAAAGAGAGAGAGAAAAAAGAAGAAACAGCGAAACCGGAGGACAAACATTAAATAAAATATCTTAAATAAAATAATAAATAATAAACATTAAATAAAATAATAATCTAGGAGAAGAGGCAAGACCGACACGGTGTAATTAGAAAAGGGCAGCATCTCAACAGAGTAGGGCAGAGGTAGATGAGCAATGTCATCATTGTCAACAATACCTCCCCCGCACCCACTCTTCCCCAAATGGGCAGTGAGCCGCCGTTCTTGTATTTCACCTTTCCGTGTAGTCCGTTGGCAGCTCGTTCCTCTTTGAAGTTTAGGACAAGTTAACGGGGAGGGCTTAAGTGCTTCGAGTGCAGGCTGGTGGCGTCAGGAGGAATGAAAAAGCCGGTGATTGAGGCACCGCCATCAATATTCATTATATGCAATGGCTCCTTGTCAGTGAAAGAAGAGAATGTGCGTTAAAAATTAGAGAAGGAAAAAAAAAAGAACAAGGGGGGGGGGGGGGGACTGTACGACATCTGGGACAGTCACCACACAGTTGCGGCTCACTGGGAACACATGCGCGCATGTATGAAAAAGTTAACGAAACTACCTAGCTGTCAGCTCCTTGTCAGTGAAGGAACAGATTGTGCGTTAAAACTTAAAGAAGAAGAAAAAAAAAGAAAAGAAAAAGGGAGGGGGGGGGGGGAACTGTACGACATCCGGGACCACTTATCTGTGCGTTCTGGCTGTGCTTGATGAGGCAAATCATTTCTATGTTGTCAGATGCATAGGCCAAAAGCTTTGTTAGCGGGTAATATTATTGTAGTAATGAAACCGGACTGATTAGAGAGAAGCGTTTGCGTCTTTTAGCGGTCATAACGCTGACAGAGTGCCTGGGTGTTCATTTATTCCGTATTTCGTCGTGTTAAATTTGTAGATAAAATAAGAAGATTCCTGTTTTTCCCGTTCTCTGATTGTTCGAAAGTTGTTTTCTAGTAGTGTAACCCTGATGTCATCAAAGCTGTGGTCTTTTAATGTGCAGTGTTTTGAAAGTGGAAGGCCTGGCAGAGGTCGTACATGTGCCCGATGGTTGTTGAATCTAATTCGAAACGAAGTGTCTGTCTGGCCCACGTATTGCTTGTTACATACCCCACATTCCAGGAGGTATATGACGTTGTCTGAGTCACAGTCTAGTGCACCTCTAATCCTGTGCTTAAAATCCGAGTGGGTGCTTTTCGCCACTGTCGTTGTCTGCATGTGTTTGCATACCTTGCATCTGCTTTTTCCGCAAGGGTGAGACTCAATTTGAGGTTTCACACCTATCTTTGAATTTATTAAATGATCCTTTATATTTTTCGGCCGTCTGTATACAACACAAGGAGGAGAAGTGAAAATTTGGATAGTCTCACGCTCTGTTCCAATATGTTAAAGTGTTTTCTTAGGACCTTGTTTATGTTCGATGGGTTGCTCGTGAAAGTTAATAGCAAGTTTTTGTTGCGGTGTTGGTCGGCGTTTTTCTGGTGGTTGAGAAGAATCTGGTGGTCCAGATTTTCAGCTTTTTTTGACGGCGTCATCAATGATAGCTGGCAGGTATTCTTGATTAAGGAGTACTTCGCGCATATGTGTGCTGTTTTTGTGGAAGTCCTCGGTGCGGGAGCAGATTCGTCGGAATCTGTGGGCTTGGGAATAGGGAATGCTGGTCTTGCAATGTCGCGGGTGGCAGCTTTTGAAGTGCAGGTATTGTTGCCTGTCCGTAGGTTTTCTGTATACGTTAGTTACCAACGCACCATTGTCAACTCGAATGAGTACATTAAGAAAGTTTATTTCAGTGTTAGAGTAGGAGTGTGTAAAATAAATGCTGGGGTGAACCTGGTTGAATGCCTGTATGAATTTGAGGAGCTCGTTTTCCGAATGTGTCCAAATTATGAATATATCATCTAGGTACCGTTTATATAGTAATGGTTTGATATTACAAGATGAAAGAAACTTGGACTCTATGTGGTGCATGAATATGTTAGCGTAGTTTGGGGCCATTCTTGTACCCATCGCCGTGCCGCTGATTTGAAGATAGTACTGGTTGTTAAATTCAAAGCTGTTCAAATCGAGTACAAGTCTTGTGAAAATTTCAATTACTTTTTTGCTTGGATAAGCGACAGGGTTGTGTGTGCCATACGATTCAACAAGCGCCCTTACACCATCGTCCTTCTCTAATTTTTAACGCATATTCTTTTCCTTCACTGACAAGGAGCCATTGCATATAATGAATATCGATGGCGGTGCCTCAATCACCGGCTTTTTCATTCCTCCTGACGCCACCAGCCTGCACTCGAAGCACTTAAGCCCTCCCCGTTAACTTGTCCTAAACTTCAAAGAGGAACGAGCTGCCAACGGACTACACGGAAAGGTGAAATACAAGAACGGCGGCTCACTGCCCATTTGGGGAAGAGTGGGTGCGGGGGAGGTATTGTTGACAATGATGACATTGCTCATCTACCTCTGCCCTACTCTGTTGAGATGCTGCCCCTTTCTAATTACGCCGTGTCGGTCTTGCCTCTTCTCCTAGATTATTATTTTATTTATTGTTTATTATTTTATTTAAGATATTTTATTTAATGTTTGTCCTCCCGTTTCGCTGTTTCTTCTCTTTTTTTCTCTCTTTCTTTTCTTTTCTTTTTTTTCCTTTTTTTTTACTTTTCTTTGACCCTTTCCCTCCTGTCTCAGGCTATAAGAAGACACGGAACATGTGTAAATAGTATTATGCCTTGAAAAAGACGGGGTTCCTGTCGAAACGTCGGCACAATAAACAGTTGTTATGTGAAAGCGCATTTACTTTCATATATATATATATATATATATATATATATATGGGATATGGCACGACGGGTGCGTTGTCAACAAGGATAAATGTATTTTTTTCCCAACAGTTCTGGGAGGGGTCCTCCCTTCATCAGGGGATGAGTTATACTGACATGAACTTCCAAACTTCGTTGCTGCCGCGTCCCTCTCGCCTTGAAAAATGTTTGCAGAGTGAGAGGGAACTAAAAAAAAAAAAGGAAAAAAAGGGGGGAAGAAAAAAGACGAAAAAGAAAGAAAAGAAAGAAAGTAAAAATGAGGAAGAACCACTGTCAACACTGAGAACGAAAGCATCTGTTTGTGTACGTCCACATACGGTTCTTATCCTGACCTGTTCAGTTCTCGACGTGTGTCGGGCCACACAAGATTGTCGCCGCGGTGGCGGCAGGGACCGTGACGGCGTGCGTAAAGAAAGGGTTTCCCTTAATGGGTCGGTCGGCGTGCGGCGTGCGTGAAGAAAGATTTTCCCTTTAATGGGTCAGTCGGCTCTTTACCTTTAATCTTCGTCCGTTTCTCTTCAATGGTCATCAAGTGGTAGGCGAACGTAAACACTTTGTATGTGCATGTGGAAAAAAGAAAAAAAAAAGAGAAAAAAAAGAAAAACAAAAAAACAAGAAAGGACTGTGTACACGTACGAGTCAGTCAGAAAAAACAAGCATGGTCTCCAGCTATCAATCTTTGTCACCAATTTCCTCCTTGCTTACGGAGGCAGTTGAGTTTTCCGAGGTCCTCGTTAATGCCGGCTACTAGTGTTCGAAATTTGAAAATAAAATATGCCTCACGCTGTTCGCGCTCGCGTCTGTTTGAGAAACCGGACTACAAAAGAGTTACGCTGATATTTTCAAAACTGTGGTTTGGCAGGCGCAGATGTCTAGATAAAGGTAGCTTCGGCAGTGAAGTGGCGTAGTACCGGTGATTATTGAACCGCAGCCGAAATGGCGTGTCTGTTTGGCCGATATATTCTTGTCCACAGATGTTGCAATGTAGCATGTATATTACGTTACTGGAGTCACAATTAAGGCTTTCAGTTATGCAGAATTTGAAATCCGAGAAGTTCGCTTTGGATTCACGTGTTGTGACCATCTGTGGGCATACCTTGCATCGAGCTTTTCTGCAGGGATGGCACCCTGATTGAAATTTGGAGGTGCTTGTCTTTGCCGGAGGAGTATGTCCGATGTATTGGACCTTGCACACAGAGCATTCAAGCATGTGCACAATGTTGCTTGTGTCGCAGTCAAAAACCTACGGATAGGCAGTCATACCTACATTTCAATAGTTCACATCCAAAGCACTGAAAAACTGCAATCTCATACGGTCAAGCACTGCGTTTTAAGCAAATATGTTCGAACAATTCAGATTTTACAGACAACGGCGCCTAACTTCG